CTTTTTTTGTTGGGAATTTTTTAATTACCTTTTCAATCTCTTCTTTTGTTATGGATTTATTTAGTTGTTCTACCTCTGTTTGTGTTAGTTTAGGTAGGTAGTGAGTTTCTAGAAATTTGTCCATTTCCTCTAGGTTTTGAAAATTTGTTAGAGTAAAATTTTTCATACTATTTTGTTATGATTGTTTTAATTTCAGTTGGGTCTGTTGTGATATCACCCATCTCATTTCTTATATGGGTTATCTGCTTCTTCTCCTGCTTTTCTTTTGTTAGTTTGGCCAATGGTATCAATTTGTTGATCTTTTCAGAGAACCAGCTTTTGGTCTTTTTAACTCTTTAAGTTGTTTTTTTGTTCTCTATTTCATTTAATTCTGCTCTAATTCTTATTATTTCCTTTCTTCTGGCTCTTGAGGGCTTCTTTTGCTGTTCTCTTTCTACTTGTTCCAGTTGTAGGGTTAATGTTTTGATTATGCCTCTTTCTTCTTTTTGGATGTGTGCATTTATTGCTTTAAACTGACCTCTGAGCTCTGCTTTTGCTGTGTCCCAAAGGTTCTTGTAGGATGTGTTTTCATTCTCATTTGATTCTACAAATTTCTTTATTCCATCCTTAATTTATTCTATAACCCAGTAGTTTTTGAGCAGGGTGTTGTTTAGTTTCCATGTGTTTGATTTCTTTTTCCTTGCTTTTTGTGTTGTTGATTCCTACTTTTATGGCTTTGTGATCAGAAAAGATGCTTTGTAATATTTCAATGCTTTGGATTTTGTTAAGGCTTGCTTTATGGCTTAATATGTGGTCTGTTCTGGAGAATGTTCTATGTGCTTTGTAAAAGAAAGTATACTTGGCTGCTCTTGGGTGGAGTGTTCGGTATATGTCTGTGAGATGAAGTTGGTTGACTGGAGCATTTAGCTGTTCCATGTCTTTGTTGAGGTTCTTTCTGGATGTCTGTCCTTCACCAAAAGTGGCGTATTGAAGTCTCCTACTACTGTTGTGAATCTGTCTCTCTCTTTTCAGTGCTGTTAGAGTTTGTTTTATGTATTTTGCAGCCCTCTTGTTGCGTGTGTAAATATTTATTATAGTTGTGTCCTCCTGGTGTATTGACCCTTTAATCATTATATAGTGTCCTTCCTTATCCTTTGTGGTGGATTTTACTTTAAAGTCTATTTTGTCAAAGATTAATATTGCCACTCTTCTCTTTTTTGAGTGTTGTTTGTTTTATATATTTTTTTCTATCCTTTAAGTTTTAGTTTGTGTCTTTAAGTCTAAGGTGTGTCTCTTGTAGGCAGCATAGAGACGGATTGTGTTTTTTAATCCAGTCTGCTACTCTCTGTCTCTTTATTGGTACATTTAGTCCATTTACATTCAGCGTAATCATTGATAGGTATGAGTTTACTGCTGTCATTTTGATGTCTTTTTTTGTGTGCTGTTCAGTTTCTTTGTTCCACTTAATTTTCTCTGCTGAGTCATTTTTCTGTGTATTTTCACCTATTTCATTGTTGTTGATTTTGTATTTGTGAGTCTTTATATTTTTCTGGTTTTTTATTTTGACTTGTAGGGTTGTTAGTTTCCTTCGTGGTTACCTTAATAGTTACCCCTATTTTTCTAAGTTTATACCAGTATTTTATTTCTTTATATCGCCTTGACTTCCTTTTAAGTCCTTCTTTTTTGTTTTAATGTTGTCATCTTTAACATATTGACATTTGTTAGCCTACTTTCAGTGTTTTAGCTTTGATTTTCTTTTGTGACTTCCCTATCTGGGTTGATATCTGGTTGCTCTGTCCTGTGTTCTAGTCTTGGATTGTTATCTGATGTTACTGATTTTCTAACCGGAGG